ATTCTTGTCTATTGTTGATCATGCTCACTATTAACTAGACATGCTCGGGCAGCTGTTGTGATCTGCTCTATATTTAGCCTAAATACTGACTATGGAAGAAATATGGTTCATGAGGATTCATATAATCGACCCTAACTGGCCGGGTGGGGGGGGGGGATTAAGATATAGTTGTTATTGACTACAGAAGAAGCTGATTGATTAGATTGTATAAGAATAGTATTGAATATGATGTATTAGTAATGCTGATACTATTTCTTATTCCCCGTTTAGTTTGTTACGTTAAGGGCAATTCTTGTATATTTGTGGATTAAAGAGGTTCCATTGGTAAACTAGTACATCCTTTTTCTGCTATGGAGAATCATGAGGGATATGTTAGGACAATGATCAACTTTTGCATGTGGATACTTTCATGTCCAAGTGTAATACTCCTGGACTTGTTGTTGGGGTAGGGGTGATCAGTTTTGGCCTTTGAAGAGTTTGAAAGAGAAGAATGATTGGTCTTTGATAGAATAGAAGTTTGCTCCTTGAGTAATGCATGGTGGGGGTGGAAATTGACTCCTAATTAATACATAGTGGAGTGAAGATTATTACTTATTAGGTGGGCTATATTTCTAATCTCCTTCACAAAAATTGGCTAGTGTAGTCATTGTACATGTTTACGCCTCATTTCACTATGTAATAGGTGTATTAGTAGGGTCGAAGCTGGAAAACAAAGTATGGATTTGGTCGAAGCCAGTAACTTGTAATCCTTTTATATGTGGATATATATAACTTAAATCACGCAAATAAATACGTTGATAAGGCTAAAGAAAAGTAGATAATTAGAGGTTGATAATGACAAATGAGCAATTAAGTAATGAATAGCTTAACTTTAGACAATGCCATTATTAATGATATTTGGAGACGTACCCTTTAGGTGTCATCTAACCTGGGGTTCTCCTTTTCAACGCTATGAATTATGAAAATGACCGTAGAATAACGTCGTGGAATGTATCTTTCATTTTTAAACACCCAAACTTGATTACCTCAAAAATTCAATTTATATAATTTTTTCATACTATGAAATTATTTATTTGGTATGATGATAATAGTTAAAGAATGTTAAAAAAGTTTCACTTTAGTGGTTAATGAGATGAGTGAACTCCTGATAAGGTTTGAACAATCCTAATAAAAAAGGATGAATTTACGTACAATATTCTATGGTTATATGTCACAAGTATCGAATAATTATCCTTGAGTATATATCAGATTAATCATTTTAATAATGATTTCAATGTTCTGTTACGTAATAATAATGCAATAAAAAGATGAACTTAGCTTTCTAAACTCCAAATTATATCAAATATTGTTAAATTAAAGGGAACAAGGGTGAATTAGGTGACACAAGTCATCCTTTAATTAGTATTATGATTAATTAATTAATTAATTAGTAGTACATGTTAATAAGAGCTTGGAATTGCAATTACCTACCCATTGCGGCTCAACGCCACAATTTTGCTTTCTCTCACACCTTTCCCGTTTTCATTGGTCCTCCGATTTTAGAAGGAAAAGGAAATGAACAAAAGACAAAAAAACTTAGCAATATTATCTGTTTTATATTGGGCTAAAAATAAAAAAACAATCATCATAAAGCCTTTGAGAGATTCAGGATTAGGAGTCGAGTCTTGGGTTAAGGTCGGATACCGAATCTTGAGCAGAAGTCAAAAGTCAAGTTTTGAGTCGAGTTAAAATTGGAAGTTGGGTACATAGTGAGGTCAGATATCGAGTTAGGGTTAGAGTTAAGAGTCAAGACCTAGAGCATTGGGGATCGAGAGATGAATTCTGAATCAAGGACGAAAATCAGGTTTCGAGTTAGGGTTGAGAGCTGGGTCTCTAGTCAGATCGGGAGACGTGTCTCGAGTTGAGGTAATAATTGGGGAATGAGTCAAGGTTGGATTCCGAATCTCAAGTTGGGTTAAGAATTGAGAGTTGAGTTTTGTGTTAGGCTCGATATTCATGTCTCAAATTGAGGTTGAAGTCGGGAGTCAGATTTCAGGTTTCAAATCTGAATCGAGAGTCACATATCAAGTAGGAATTGAGGTCGGGAGTCAAATTTCAGGTTGAAGTTTAAAGAAGGTTCCCGGGTCGGAGCCAAGAGTCGAGCTCCTAGATTGGGGCCGGGACCCGACTCTTGAACAATGTACACTTTAAGGTATAATTTGGTTAAAAATTTGTTTATATCTCAAAATTATAACTACAAATATAATCATGAAATGATAACCATGATAAATAATCGCACCTTCAATCTCATGATTATAATATAAAATTTGAATCCCATGATAAATAGTAATTCCACCTCTATATAAAATAAATTATCTCATAATTATCATATAAATTTATTTTGATTTTACCTAATACCTTCAATTAAACACAACAAAAATTTAAACCCAAATTTTGAATTGAAAAATCCACTTAATTTCTCCAACCAACTCCCCTACCTAACTATGCATTACTTTTTTTTCCTCTTAATTTTTAAATATGAGACTTTATTAGCACGTACAACGCTTTTGCCTCGAAATATAATGAAGATTAAAAACGTACGTTATCTATTCGTTATGCTAAGGATCTTTTGGGCGGTGCCATTTATTTTTTGTTCTTTGAATAATACACCATTTTTTCTAGTCTTTGGTCAAGCACAACAAGAAATTACGTATACATTACTGTACTAATTAAAGAAGTGGACTGTCAGTTAGTTCTTATTAAGTTCCTTAAACTGTGGAAAAACTGTAACATTTGTGTTCAACTACTTTCAAGGAATTAAATATTATTTCCTTCGTTTCATTTTATGTGAGATAGTTTAACTTGACATTAAGTTTAAGAAATAAATGAAGACTTTTAAACCTTGTGGTGAAAAATGAATGATTTAGAATTTTTTGTGGCTGTAAATCGTTTCATTAAAGGTAAAATAAACATTTTAAAGTTAAATAATTACTCCCTTCGTTTAAAAAAGAGTGACCTCATTTCATTTTTAGTCTGTTTAAAAAAGAATGACCCATTTCCTTTTTTTGCAACACTTTAACTTTCTACATGACACGTTTAAGGTCATAAGATTAAATGATATTTTTGTACATTTGACATAACTTTAATTTAGAACCACAAGATTTAAAAGTTTTTTTTTTCTTAAACTCCGTTTCAAGTCAAACTAGGACATTCTTTTTGAAATAGATGAAGTACTTAATATAGAAATGTGTTATTCTTTTTTAAACTAACTAAAAAAAGAAAGTAAGTCATATAAATTGAGACAGAGGAAGTAGTTTCTTGTAGATAATAGATAGAATTAATTTTTATAGTACTCAACTCTCACTTATTTGAGACGGAAGAAAGTAATAGTTATTGACTTATTGTATATTAGAAAGGCTCTAAACGATCAAAATCATATCTAATGTTGCTCAAACTCTCAATATAACTCAAAAAGTATGGACAATTTAAACAAATTACCCCCTCATTTATGTTTTTATAACCAATTTGTTGGTTATAATTAATTAATTTTCATCCACCCCCCTCTGTTTGCCACACCAATTTGTGGCGTTATCTAATGTAAACAAATCTATTTTTCCACAGTACCACCGCCCAATTCTATCCTAAAAATCAATCAAAACAAATTCAATGCATGACAAACTGACTTAACTACCTGTTTATTTCTTGACTACACGTGTACAAATATCTACCCTTAGATTTCCCTCGTTGCCACGTGTCATTATGATCTCTTCCAACGTGGCAGCTATCAAAATCCATGACAAATTATAAAATAAAATCCATTTTTGCCCCAATTCCCTATTATTTCTTTATTTGATATAATAATATAAAGTGTGGACAATCTTTGGGAAGGTCCCTTTCTATAAACATGAATCGCCCAAAACTTTACTGTATAATAATATAAAGTGTGATAATTTCTCTTTATTGAGACAAAATAAGATGAAAATATATCTTTTCTTTGTACGATGATGTGTGCAAAGATCTCTAGTTCATCTTGTTGGATCATAAACTCCGAAAAGATTTTGTATGTGTAATATTATTTAAATTTAATCAGAGCTTCAATATAGACTCCGAACACTAATTGCAATATTGTATCATTAAGTATAATACATGTATATTAACTAGTGAGTATAAATGATTTGACCGAGCAATTAAATGTATAGTATCGCCCAGAAATAACAAGTTTGCAATATAAAGGTAACTTCTAATAACGGGAAAGTTAAATTGTTTTTTCGCAAAATAAATAGATAAATTTAATTATTTTTTTCAAAAAACGTACAAAATTTTAAAGTAAACAAGTAAAAACGTATGAATAGACAACAATATCTTATTACACTGATTAGTGATTAAGAGGCCACGCATTTAAAAGTAGTTTTGTGGTGTATAAATAATTTCAAGCAAAGAATACCCTCAACTATAGAGACATCAAGAGAAGCTTCTTCCAGGTTCTAGCTGATCCCCACTCACAAATAATTGCATTTCTTATTGTTACCAATATAACATATATACTCCTATTAAATTATACACATTGTCAGTATAAAGAAAAATTTATATTATTGATCACTCAACAATATAAAATATTATTGATCACTCAATAATATAAAATTTGTGATCATAAAATTAAGGTAAATTACTTGTTATAATATGTAAACATGATTTGTTTGTGTAAAAAATTCTTATACCGGTGACATACATTGTCATACCTTCTTCCTTTTTGTAATTTATGGCAATATATTACTATTTTTTTTTCCATATTTTTCTTCTATAAATACAAGTTTCAAATCATTCATCCACATTATTTTTAAAAACAGAATTAAACGCTCTTTTGGTCTTGTCACTTGTCACTAATAAATATTTTCTTCTTGTTGTCTCTTTCACCTGATTAACTACTACTACTATATATATCGTCCTCTTTCTAGCAAATATAATCAACCACCAAAAAAACACAAAAAAATAATTTCTCATCCTTTCTCAGCTTTATATTTTTTAAAGTTAATTTCTTCTTTATATCAAAAGCAAAAAATGGGAGTTTCAGGGACACTGGAGTACTTGTCTGAAGTACTTAGCAACGTTAAGAAGAGTAAGAAAAAGAAACAAATCGCAACTGTATCCATCAAAATTAGAATGGACTGTGAAGGTTGTGCTCGTAAAGTCAAGAATGCTCTCTCTAAAGTAAAAGGTATATTTATTTTTAGAGTTTTAAGTTATATATATTGTTACGTATTTTTTATACCAATCAAAAAGATAAATTTCTTCAAAATAAGTTATTAAAAGTAAAATCACTATAATGTCTTTTTTTTTTACCTATCATGGCAACTTTACATGTTATAACATGTCTACTATCTATGGACCACCTACATGTATCTTTTTTAATAACTTGATAGTGTAAAAAAAAGTTAAGAAAACCTTACAACTACAAAATTTTGTCGGAATAATCTTAGAAATTTTTTCGTTTTAATTTATGTGACTTGATTTTGAGTTGAATAACATCAAACTAACTATTTTTTTTATTGTGTGTGAATTTTTGAATAGGTGCAAAATCAGTGGATGTGGACTTAAAGCAACAGAAAGCAACAGTAACAGGCTTTGTGGAGCCAAAAAAAGTGTTGAAGGCAGCACAATCCACTGGTAAAAAATGTGAGATTTGGCCATATGTGCCTTATAGTATGGTGGCACATCCTTATGCTGCTGCTGTTTATGACAAAAAGGCACCTCCTAATTTTGTAAGGGCAACTGCTGATCCTTCTATTGCTCACTTAAATCCTGTTGAAGAACAATATTCACTTATGTTTAGTGATGAAAATCCAAATGCTTGTAATATTATGTAGTAGTTAATTATAAGTTCTTTTTCTTTGTTATAAAGTATACTTGATCCTTTGTGTGTATTTTTATTAAGAGAAATTGATTACTGTATAAAGAATTTTGATTTGTGATTAAAAGTATATATCATGATTGTCTAATAAGAGGAGTTTAGTTACCAAAAAAAAAAAAAAAAACAGAGGAGTTTGAATTTTATGAGTGTTTGTTTGATTGAATTGTTCAGTTTGCGTTCCGAGGTTTAAGTCTATCGGTTTATGATATATATTATTGCGCTTCTACTTGACACCTATCGTAATGACAAATGACTCGTTTCATCATGAACTTCTCTTAAATTTTATCGTAATGATAAATGACTCGTTTTACCATAAACTTCTCTTGAATTCTAAAAGAAATTTAATAATTTGAGAACCTATTAATTTTAATAATAATTCTAAAACCCACTACGTTGTGAGAATATTATACTAAATATGTTGTTATTTTAGTTATTGATAATTCAGATCTTTCAATTAATTCATAGGTAGTAGGAGAAGAGATGGGTGTATAATATAAACCCTTAAATATCGATCCGATTAATTTAAATTTGTATAAATTCAATTTGAGGGAAAACACATTTTGTATATCAATCTACATTAGCTTACAATATTTACTTGATTTAATATTATGAGAAAATATTAATGAATTATAATTAAGTGATAGTATTAATTATAATTCGACAACGTTTGAATGGTCCCTTTATTCCTCAAACCGTGGAAGTGGCAATGTGAATTCAGCCACCGGAGTCAAATATGGTCGGTGAAAGAAATAATAAAACCTTATCCATAAAAATAAACAGTTATATGATAAAACATATACCAACCTCATATATACATAAAAAAAATGATGAACACAAATATATATTTTGTTGTACCATGAACACATACTAACCTGTTATTCTATATGAACAAGTAGGCTATTATACATGGACGTGCAAGTATTTTTATATATTTCATAGAAGTATTTAGCATTAACTTCATGTATCTATTATATGTATTTAGTATTAATTTGATATATAAAGTATCGATTTTTTATAATATATTCAAAATACATGTATGTAGTATCAACATGCATGCATGTGTCTACATATGAAATGTAACTGAAACATATCAAATTAGGAGTAAATCATGACTAAAGAGTACTTGCCGTATCACTAATAATTTTTTTTTTCAATATTCTTCTCATTTTTTTAGCATCAGAATTTTTTTCTATAGATACAAATACATGTACATTTTATCAGATACATAAATTCTTAATCAGATACATATTTTGATCATTTTGTCTCATCCTTTGCTCGTCTCTACACTTCCATGAAATCATCATTTTCAACAAAAACTTCAACAAATCAGTGGGAAACCCTCTGTTCTTCACTGCTCTTTTCCTTACCGCCAACACGAGCAACCAAAATCCCAACAATACTATTTTAAATGATGAACGCTGTAAAATATTGTCAAATAATTAATAGATTTGATCTATTATTGTAACAATTTCTACTCTATGCTACTTAAGTTGACATCATTTTTGAAAATTAATCAGACAAAAGATATATTAAACAACACATTAAGTTGATTTTATTCGGATATAAAAAAAAATGATAAAATTTCTATAATGGTCTGAAAAAATTCAGAAAATCGTATCACTTTACAAAAGATGGAGTCTTAAGCAACCACAAACGTGGGGGGGAAGGATTAAGAAGAAAGTGATATGATTTAGAGTGAAGAAGTAAATTAGGGATATAATTAAGTGAACAAAGCTTTATTTTAGGTTATTTTTAAGGGAAAATGGTATGAAATAGCAAACTATTAATTCAAATTAAATGCTATAGCCATAGTTTATTTTAATTGTAATTCGCTGCAAACACCCCTTTTTTGCCATCTGATTCTATATACAATTAGCCATTTTCGGTATACAATTAGTCATTTTATACATTTCGGTTATAAAATGTATAAAATGTGTTTGTGTTTGTATAAAGCGAGAGCAAAGTGTATATACAAATACAAATACAAATACATATATTTTCGTCCTATACACTTGTAATTATACAAATACATATCTTATTATACAAATTACAGTGTATAAATGAATTTATACAAAACAGAACAATTTGTATAAAATTGGATGTTTGTAATGAATTATACAAATCAAAAGCACCATAGCAAACATAAAATTTGCTATGGAGCGCAATTATGCAAACTATAGTTATAACATACAAATATGATTTTTATGTTTGCTATATGTGAAAGTTGCTCTATTTTTAAAGAGTAATGTATCTCATTGTAGCTGACTTCAAATTTGTTACATAATTATTAATTAATAAATAATAGGATAATCGATAATTATTTGAAAGTATAGATGTAATTAGTAGATATGGTATGAATATATGTCTAATTATACATTTTTTCTTCTTTTATTATTTAGAATCACTCATTTAGCAAGCAAAATGAACTATTAAAGAAGAGTTTATTTTGGCTTTAGATACAAAAATAAGAAGGGAAAAGGCCTAAATTTACTTCTGAATTTGTCTCGAAAGTTAGTTACACACTTAAACTAGTATGGTGATGTATTACACCTATGTACTATTTAAAAGCGAATACATTTACCCCTAAAACTGACGTGGTAAAAAAATTTAAAATAAATAAATAAAGTGCATTTAATGAGAAATAATTTTTTTTTTTAAAAATAAATAAAAAATCTTCTTTCCAGCACCACCCTACCCCGCACCCCCACCCCATGCCTCTTCTTCTTCTTCGAACCCTACCCGCATCGTCGTCTTCTTCTTCTTTTTATTTTTTTGTTTTTCATCACCTTCCATACCCGATTTTTATCAACCCCACCCCACCTCCACCAGAATCCCCCCCCCTCCCTATTCCTTACATATATTTAGATTAAAACTACAAGATTAAAAAGTCATGTTTACTTGATCTCTATATCCAATCAAAATCAGAAAAAAAAAAAACAATAACTAAAAAATTAATAGCTACAACAAATTAAATGAGTTAAAATAAAGGAAACATATGTAAACAATAAAGTAATCATAATAAAGGATGTTGAAACAAGAAACATGATGTTTTTATTCAAACATAAAGAGTTTTACCAAGGAAATTGATCACTTGAAATCAACAATAAATTAAAACAACAAAAGCTAAACTTGAATAAAGAAGTTCAACACTTTCTACTTATGAAATTGAAAAGACTGAAAGGGAAAAACATGATTTGCTGAGTCATGTGATTTTTTATTTATGATAAAATAGCTCCAACTTCAGCATAATATTCTTTAATTGCTCGAGTCAATCACCTTTTTGCCCTTGTTGCCACCTTGAGGCTTCCTTTCAATTTTAACTGGCACAATTAAAAAATCAATGAACATTAATATACGTACGAAACTATTTCATTTTCATTTGACTTATAATTTTAAAATTTTAAAAGTATTAAAAAAAATGACATACGAAAGCTTGGATTCTGCTTAAGCATACGCAAGTGAGGATCCAGTGGCAGACCTTTGTCAGCAAAGCTTGAATCATATAACCCATTACCAACATGGCTACATTCAAATCAACAATTATTATTAATATTTTCACAATTAATTTATTGTATTTTCATATCGTACAAAATAAACTCATGATTTTATTTTTTTTGTAATTCATTATATTTTAAGAAGTTGTCACATAATTAGTAGTAATTATATATATATATATATGGAAATTTTTTTGTTCAAAAAAAAATAAATCAATTTTAAAATTCCTAGAAATATTCTAGTTTTATCAACAGAAAAAAGAATGTTACCTGATCGCCCGTGAGACTTCTTTCTTCCTCCTTTTAATTTCTTGCTCAGCAGCTTCTTTCTATAGTAATTTCATTAAAATTGAAAATTACATATTATTTTATTATTCTAAAATGTTATATCTAGTGAATAAAATTATTTTTTCTTAAAAAAAGAATATGACAAATTCAATTATTAAAAATAAATTAGGAATGAGATATACTCTTGCAAAATAAGATTCATCATGTGTCCTTGACATATCATCGCGTGCATACCTAGCCTGTATTTATTAACATTAGAAAATAGGCTTTAAGTAATATTTCATAGTAAAAGAAATATTAATAATTCATTGACAATTCAAATAAGGAAATATAATAATAATAATAATAATAATAATACTAATAATAATAATAATACCATGAAATCATTCAATTGTGAAATTTCCTGTATTGGAGGAACAAAATGCCCAATGGGGTTAGCGCAATTTTCCTATGCAAAAAAACGAGTAATAAAATTAAAAAAAGCACATAAATTAACATAATAAATAAAAAAAATAGTAAAATTCAAAAAATAAATAAATAGAGGATGTCAAAGAAACATACCTCCGCAGGTACATATGAATCTGGGGGAGCTTCAAGGTCAATGATTTCATCACGCACGCTCCTAAAATAAATAAATAAATATATATATATATATATATATATATATATATATATATATAATAAGTCGAGATGTATTTGATGGTGTTCATACAAAAGTTTGCCGATTGAATTTTTCAAAAAATATAAATAGAAAAAAATATATGAGTAGCCCATAAAATAAAATAAAAAATGTATGAACATAACACTCGATAACATTCACGTTTTAGACTTTAAAAGTATGTTTAGAAAATCTAAAGTGAAAAAAATGTATTTAATATTTCTTACACTTTTGGAGAGGGTAAATTTAAAAACTCAGTCAGACATATATATTAAATAAACAAAGAAAAAAAGTTATGATATCACAAAAAATGTATTTGCACAATTTTTTCTTGTATACGTAAACACAAATTAAATCTCTAATAAATTTAAAATATTTATACATTAGAAACACAATTTTCTGCAATGATTTTTTCGCTAAAACAAAATCTGGTCATATAATCAAACTTACTTATGTAAAAAATAAATAATTAATACCTGTTCGACACGATTGCAAAGTTTGAATGATTTTCTGAAT